TCTTGATATGAACAGAGACTGTGTAGCTTTGTGGCTGTCTTGTTAGTGCCTGCGTGTTAACATTGCTAGCATTGTTGGTCGTTGATCTACTCATCATGCCAGAATAATTTCAGTTGTAGTAGTGACGTAAAACATAAAAAATGCATTTCATTAGGATTCAGATTTCTGTGCACTACAACCAGAAAAAAAGAATAAGTAGAGACCGCAATGTATGCTCTATCAATTGTGTATTGTCTCTTTTCTTGAAGCAGATGGAGTCTTAAGAACTGTTCCAAGTTGCTGAGTATGTAGAACACATGTCAGGGGACAATGAAGTGTTCACAGTCTCAATGAGAGACTGTTGGCTTCCTTCCTGCGGAATTAAAGTCTCCTCTGAAAATCCAAGCTGTGATTTACTGTCTATTACTCAAACACAGAGAGATATATTCCAACAAAACTGTCACAAAGATCAATTTTTTTAACATTTTCTTTTGTTTTGAAACTCATGATGCACAGCTGCATGTTCTAGAAAACAGCCAGGTACGTCATATAGCAGATTTGACTACTTAGGGCTGTTTTAGCAAACATATTGTGTGCTTATGAGTCATGTAAATGTCATGCTCTTCTTTTTATTACGTTTGACTTCAATTAAAACATAATGTTATTTTGGTTTAACTCAATAGTCAAGCAGAAGATCATAATTGAATTAAGCTAATACCCCGTGATGTGTGATGCATTACAGAGGCTGGTTTAACCTCAGAGGTTAATGCTTATCCAATGATCATTCAATTAGATGTCAATACATCCTGACAGATCCAAAATGGTTAATATTTTGACAAGTGGTTTTTTGGCTTTTACTTCAATTTCATTTAGTGTCAGCAGTTCAGGACATAACCAAAAATAGAGGCATGCTATTAACCACCTTTTTAGCACAGTTGGTTCTTGAAATATTTTTATTTTATTTTATTTATTTATTATTATTTTTTTTATTATTATTTTTTTATTTTATTTGGAAGCACATATCATTGTTTAAGAGCTTATAATAGGTCTTTCCAGTCTCAGAAATCAGGAGATAACCTGATATAGTGCATGGCAATAACCTTCTTTGTAGCACACGTAATTTTGCAAGTATTTTAAAATTATTATTATTATTATTATTATTATTGTATTTTATATGTTATTAATATTTTAATATTTTAATAAAAACAACAATTAATTTTTTATTTTTTATTTGACAGCATATATCATTGTTTTAGACCTAAGTCAGGAGATGACCTGAAACAGAGCATGACATGACATTATACAGTATATTTTATTTTAGATTATATATATATATATATGTTCATATTATTTAATGTATTATGTTATCATTAAAAATCAGTTTCTCTAAAAATATGAATTATGCATATAACATTGCAGCTCAGTCTTATGTTGCCTCCATATCCATTTTACATCGAGCCACAGCAATTCAAATGAAATTATTGTATTTTATATGTTATTAATATTTTAATATTTTAATAAAAACAACAATTAATTTTTTATTTTTTATTTGACAGCATATATCATTGTTTTAGACCTAAGTCAGGAGATGACCTGAAACAGAGCATGACATGACATTATACAGTATATTTTATTTTAGATTATATATATATATATATGTTCATATTATTTAATGTATTATGTTATCATTAAAAATCAGTTTCTCTAAAAATATGAATTATGCATATAACATTGCAGCTCAGTTTTATGTTGCCTCCATATCCATTTTACATCGAGCCACAGCAAATATTTCAAATGAAGACCTCACCACTTAAATCTGGACTTGACCCTGCGGCCACTGATGTGCCATTGGTTCTTCTAAGTGGGCCGCAAGAGGGTCACTTATAGTACTTCCTCCAGCCTAACATTTCTCGGTCAGAGAGAGCATTAGCTAATCGTGTCTTCAGATCGGACCTCTTTCCTCTTCCTCTCTGATAAGAAAATAACTGAGAATGATGAGAGTGGGCGGGAATCAGAGGAGAGCGAGCGTTGACTCTTGTCTATTCTCATTTCCCTGTCTCCCGGTGTCTCCCTGGGGACGCTTGATGTGATGACTGAATTTAGCCATGTGGCTCGTGCCTTCCGCTACCCCTCCCTTTCTCTCACACAGATCAAGATACTCCACTAATGGGGCTCTTCTCTCATCACTGAAAGAGAGAGGTGTGTGTGTGACCTCCTCACCTCCACCGTCCCATGAGATTGTCGGCCAGGTCGTCTTGGCCTGTCTCCAGGAACTGAGAGCACTCATAGGATTAGCAATAGAGAGAATTTTGATTAAAATGGCTGTACATCACAGCAGAGGTGTCTGTTAAGGTGCGTTAATTGTTTGAATACTGCCTCTTAAATCATGTAGGTGACATCAGCATTAGTCTCACGTTACCAGACTAAGGTTCTGGTCCACATTACAGCTTACTCCGGCCAAGAACACTTAGACATTTGATTAAACCAATTACTCCTTTTTATATGATGTTGTTGGATTTAACCTTGAGCAAAGTGGAATCTGTCATTTGTTTGCAACAAACAAAACTCTTGGAATATCTTTCGAAGATTCAGTTGAATCTTCCATGAACCATGACCCAAATTTAGTGACTTATTCTTCCATAAAAGTGCTCATTGCTGCCTGGGAACTTACTCTGTTTCCAGTTGGACTGATAAAAAAACTGTGCACCCAGATTTTTACAATTTATTTGTAGATTGTATTTTCAATTAGCATTTTTGTTTTAGTTTTTATTTTATATAAAATAGTTTTATTAAATGGTTATATCAGCCATATATTACATTAATGTAGTTATATTAAATACTTTTTTATTTTATATACAATATAAAAGTCAAGTGTTACATTTCTCAGCACAGTCTAGTTTTTTTTTTTTTTGTAGTGGCATTTTTGTTTCATGCAGGCAGGTTGTTTAAAGTTTTATAATGTAGCATTTAAATCAATTTAAATTAATTTGTGGCCTTTTATAATTAATTTTAGTTAGTTAATTAGTCATTATTTAAGTGTAGTTTCAGTTTTATTTCAGTTAGGTTAGTTTTTATTTGAGTTAATGAAAATATTTTCATTTGACTTTGTTTTATTTATTTTTGACTTTATTTTTTTTATTTCTGTTTTGTTTTATTTATTTATTTTTGATGAATCATTATCATTAAGAGCTCATGTTAGGTCTTTCTAGATTTGTTATCATTAAAAGTTTATTTGTCTATGGAGAAAGTGAATAATTACCCTCTATTTACATTTTTGTAATGTAATGTACATGAAATTTTGTCAGCAAATATTTCAAATAAAGACCTCACCACTTAAACTAATGTTTTCAGTTTTGTTTCTGTTAAAGATAATAAAACTGCTTAGAAGTTGTGTTAAGCCATCCATTCGGATTAGAACTTGCCATTTTTGTGTGTTAAATGTGTAAATAAATGCACAGATTCAATCTCCAACAGTTGTAACTCAACCGTATCTTGCATCAGAGTCTTAAACAATCATGACTGTTGTTCTGACACAAAGGGAAATCTCATCCAGTTTTGGGTAGCTCTCCCCTAACCGTAGCCAAACAACACCATTTTCCCCACCTTCGCTACTGGGCTTTATCTTCCCAGCTTTACGCTTTACCCGTGATGTGGAAAGTGAGATAATTGTTAGTTTTAACGGCCCACCTCCATCGACGTTGACTGATTCTCCTCCCACAAACTGTCCCCCCGACCGTGTACTAGTTTTACATTAGCCGGCGTCTTCCATTTACCGTGTCTTAAACACACTTCAATTGAGTTTTCTCCAATCCAGGGCTGCTGGTTTTCCTGCGTGACTCTTTAGGCCTCTTTACTTTGGCGAGCGAGCGAGGGAAAGACGGAGAGGAAAAGAAAGAGAAAACCATCACCCTGGAGGAGACCGTAAGGCATATATCCTCTAATGTTATTAGAGGGCTCTAATCCCCACTGCTTTCCTACTGGGGTACCAAACATCCTTGAGAGAAGGAAACAAAAGGAGGCGTGTGTGTCTGTCTGTGTTAAGGGGTGGTTTGGAAAAGAATAGGACAAGTATTCAGAGATGACAAGTAGAGGGAGATAAAGAAACCATACAAGATAGTAAAGGAATGAGTGGGAGATGGTGACTTAAACAGAGAAAATAATGAAGTGGAATTCCTAGAAAGGGATGACAGACTTTCAGAAAGGGAAGAGGAAGGTGAAGGGTGCTGTGAGCTGAAGACGGAGAGCAAGAGAGCGTGTGTGTTTGTATCAGTAGGAGCAGGGGCGTAGATTACGTGGGGGACGCGGGGGACGTGTCCCCCTCACTTTTAATATCACGTAAATTCGTCCCCCGCACTTTTTCGGGCAAGTGTGTTCGCGTAGAGGTTTTCAAGAGCCGGTGTGAATAAATATATATTTAAATTCAAAGAGACAGGATAGTCTGTGCATGATCTGATGTTTTATTCGGACCCAGAATAAGGCGAGATGAACATCGCGGAGCGCTAAACATTCCGTGCAGTGTATGCTTCATTCATACTCAAAGCCGGAGGCCGCTCTTTATTTTTACTAGGCTATTTCAAATAACTGTTTTCTATTTGAATATATTTTAAGATGTAATTTATAGTGATTTCAAAGCGAAATTTGTTGCATCAGTCACACTATCCTTCAGAAATCATTCTGATATTCTGATTTGCTGCTCAAAAAGCATTAATAATAATAATAATAATTAAAAAAGGTTTATTGAGCAGCAAATCAGCATATTAGAATGATTTTTTGAAGGATGTGACACTGAAGACTGCAGTAATGATGTTGAAAATTCAGCTTTGATCACAGCAATCATTTTAAAATATATTCTAATAGAAAGCAGTTATTTTAAATAGTAAAAATATTTCACAACATTACTGCTTTTGCTGTACTTTGGATCAAATAAATGCAGGCTTGGTGAGCAGGAGAGACTTCTTAAAAACATTAAAAATCTTACTGTTCAAAAACTGTTGACTGGTAGGTTATATAGATTACAGAAATGTTATATTGTAATGTTTATATATGTTGAAACATTCAACATGAAACATTTCTGTCCCCCTCACTTCTGAAATGATGGCTACGCCCCTGAGTAGGAGTGTATCTGACAGATAGCTTGAGCTCCTGTTTTGCTTGGATGAAGATTCCTGTTTCCTCATTTAGAATGAGACCGTCTTTTTAGACGGTAAAATAGGGTCTTACCAATTGGGTGAATCACACAAAGAAATGTTAGGGTTATATTTCACCCTAAAATCGAAAATGTTGCATAAAGATTTTACATGGCCTATTTCAAGACCACTATTTTTTTTGTATTATGACATGTATGTATTATGTCCATAATTATGTATTATGTATTATATTATGACAATTATGCACATTTATGCATACAATTTCCATTACTGTGACATTAAAATGTTTTATTTTCAATGTAAAAAAACTCCATCAGTGGTTTGGAGCAACAGTACGAGTGCATGAAGATAGTGTGCTGGTAAGATCTTCTTACTCCTATTTTAGGCTGTGTGGATAATAGTCAGTATAATAATCAGATATAAACCCTCCTTCAAATCATGACAAACCATTATATCCTCTTGAACATTTGTGCTTGGACACAAAGTGTGGTTGGTGACTCAATTCTAAGTTCATGTTCTTAAATTATCCGTGTAAGTCTCAAATTATGAATAATCAGATCCAGCTCTATTCATTTGTTTTTATTTGTCTATTCATTCGTTCATTCCTTTGTATTCCTTCTCAATTTGTACTTTGACTCTTTTGGCTTGTGGATAATGCTTGATCTGTAATATCAAAAGTCTAGCTGAAGTCCCTTGTGGATTACCAAACTGTGACCTGAATTTATCATCATGGTTGCTTTATCATCAGGGTCTTCTTTGTACTCAGCTAGCATGGAGGTGACCTTTAACCTCTTGCATTATCCTTTCCATAGGCTTGCGCCCCCCTCTACTCATGGAGAGCCAAGGAGGACACACCTCATGCTGATACTACTGGCTCATGTTTTCTGTCCGTCAAAAACTTCACCAAGTTTGTGGAATATGCTCCGTGCCGCACAGGTAGGCTTGCAGTCACTGATGATTTGTTTAATTTGAGTTGTTTTCAAGTCACGGTAACATAACTTACCATCCGTTGCAGAATTCCATGAAAGAAAAGGACAAGGCTACTGTCAAGGTGGATTCAGTGCTGATTTTACACAGGTGAGATGATATTGGAACTGAATAGAACACAAAGCTTTGCTTATCTGCTGTTTCCTTCTGATCTCACCTAGATACTGTTGCTATGTTACAGGAAGGAAAGGTGGTGCTTGGAGGACCTGGCAGTTACTTCTGGCAAGGTTTGGCTTTCAAAATAAAAACACTAGTTTTAGAATGGAGTAGAATAGAGTCTTTAAAAGCTCATCACTGTTAAAAAGTTAAAAAAAATAATACTTTTATTCAGCAACGATGCATTAAATTGATCAAAAGTGAGACGCATACAGTATGTAATGTTACAAAACATAATTTCTATTAAAGACTGTGTATATATGTTGTTCTTTTAAACTTATTAAAAAAAATGCATCATGGTTTCCACAAAAATATTAAGTAGCACAACTGTTTTCAACATTGACAATAATAAGAATATAATGATTTCTGAAGGATTGTGTCGCACTAAAGACTGAAGTATGTTTGCTGAAAATTCAGCTTTGCCTACATACGAATAAATTACATTTTAAAATATATAAAAACAGAAAATTATTTAAAATTTTGATAGTATTTCATAATATTGCTGTTTTTTTATGGTATTTGTGTAAATGTAGCCTTGATGAGAATAAGATTTCAGTTGACCACAGTTGACCACTTTCAAAAAAATCTTACATACTTTTGAATAGTAGTGTGTGTACCTTTCATAAACATAGATGTTTTGTCACTTGACTAGATTTCCTAAGATTTCTAGATTTCCAAATGTGGATATTTGCATTTATTATATGCATCAACAGTGACATTTAGTTCAATCCAAATGCAATTAAAAGGTCATTTTCTCCTTACCATCTCTAGGCCAAGTAATCACTGCGGTTAAACAAGAAATAGTCAAGGCCTATTACCCAGGATTCTTCTTGACATCAGTGAATGGCCAGATTCAGACCAAACAGAAAAAAGAGATCACATTTGATGACAACTACATGGGTATGTCTTTCCATCCCCCTTATTAGCTGTCGAGTTGAAAATACTTAGATTGTTTTTTCCTGTTGGTCACCACCCATGGTTTTCAAACGTTTATCAGGTTACTCAGTGGCTGTGGGTGAGTTCAGTGGTGATGATGATGAAGGTGAGTGTTGTGACCCCAAAATATAAAACCTCGACATTTATAGTGCTTATTTAGGTTACAGTTTAACTAGATTATTTTGATGTAATTTTCATTATACTCATTAAAAACAGAGATAGAATGACTGTGATGGTGAATCATCTGCTGTTGGAATTGCCATAAACGGATGTATTAAATCCATGCGCTGTTTGTAGAACCTTTCAATGGAAGTGAAAATATGAATATGAAAAAAAATTTAAAATAGAGCTCTTGGAGTGGCTCTGATCGCCAGAATTCTCAGAGATCTTGAGGAACTCACACATTTCCATGTTTCCACTTCTAAAACTTTCTCTTTTTCCGCCTCACCTCCTTTCAGACTTTGTGACTGGAGTTCCCAGGGGAGTCAGACTGCATGGACAGGTGAGAGAAAGCAGTCAGACTATAAACTGTGACATTTAGCCAGAGGTCTTTTCACTCAAGATGCCTGTTGAGTCAGATTTTCAGTGCATTAAATGTGACCAAATCCATTAAACATCCACTATAGTATGACTTTTAGTTTGGAATTGGTAATCAACCAGAGATTTTTATGATGGTACTTGATGGAATGAAAACTCTAGTCTGTTGTCTTTTTATCAGGTTTCCATTCTCAATGGTTCTCTGGATACGCTGAAGACCTTCACTGGTGAGCAGGTAAGTTTGATGCTATTCATTTTATTGCAAGTACAACACATTGGCAACCTCCTAGAACATCCTAGCAGCAACATAGGAATGCACACAAAGCATCTTAGCATCATGGTGACAAGTTTTGTATGGCCATGCACTAATCATATTTTCAAATCTTGTTTCTAAGTTGTTCTATTGGCTTATGTGGTGTAATAATATATTTTGCTGCAGCTATTTTAGGACGTGAAATTTTAACAGAAGTTATGTCATTCTTACTACTGATATTACCCTGATATTCTTCAAACCCTTGCACACTGATGACATAAGCAAAAATCATTTCCTGTACAAGTCTCTTTAAACCAAGTTGGAGTGCTCTGTGGTTAGCAGTAACGGACAGATTATGTGAGGCAAGAGCTTACGGGCAATTTTCCTAAATGAGCGCCACAGTTTTGCAAGTGGAAATTGTAGGAGGCCTTTTACTGCTCTGATTGCCTCAGCTGAGTAAATACAATCAAAAAGCATTTGTGTGTGCCCACCTCAGGGGGCTAGAGAGCGAGCCACATCTGAATCATCAAAGAGCTCTTTTCATGCACTCAAACCATAACCAAACAGAGTAAATGTCAACGAGTGCCTTCAGGCGTAAAGTTACTGTCCATGTGACATTCATAAGATTATGCATGTTGTTTGTATGTACAGTGTAAAACTGAGAAGCTTGTATCTACACGTGATTCAGATCCGTTACAGTTTTTAATTTTCCAAAATTTTTCAGATGGGTTCCTACTATGGCTATGCGGTGGCTGCTACTGACATAAACAATGATGGGTAGGTAACCATAACCAGGGTTTAGACAAGAATGTACCACAAGAATGTGTTCAGTGTTTAAGTTTGTGGTTCATATCACCTCCAGGATGACGGACCTGCTAGTTGGGGCTCCCATGTTCATGGTTCGTGACTCTGATGGGAGGTTGGAGGAGTTGGGTCGGGTCTACGTGTACATGCAGAATGAACCTCTGGATCTCACACCTCAGCTACCTCACCTCACCGGCACACAGATGTTCGGGCGGTTTGGCAGCTCCATTACCCCTCTCGGAGACCTCAACCAAGATGGTTACAACGGTGAGAGATCTGCCCAGATTTTTGCACTTATCTGTCAGTCTTCAGACAATTGTATTAGTTATCAGCCGATATTGGATTTTTTTTTATTGGTTTTGGTTGTTTGATAGATATCGGGCTTTGTTTAATTGTGCATGTTAATTTCCCTTATTTTTTTCTTTTAGATTACCTTTACTGTTGTCTAACGCCAGTGTTATTTTGGTATCATTACGATACTGTTTTTACTAATATTTTGAATCAGTTTTTTATTTTTTATCTTAGTTAAAGTTTTAGTACAGGCATAGTCAAATGGCAGACCAAGGTCAGGGTTCGGACCCAGGCTTGGTTCCAACCAGACTGCTAGACAACGAAGGCAACATTTTACCATTTCTAGATAAAGTGAGTAGTGCGTCAAAACAACGGAGCGGTTCACACCACGGGCACTCAGGGTCATTTATTGTAATGATCTATCGGCGTTATATCCTCTAAGATTTTTATTTAGAGCCAATCGCGTTTCATGCACGCCCTTCCCGTGTGCATTGATTCTTTATAAAGAAGTAGGGTTGGGTATCGTTTGGGTTTTTTCCGATACCGGTGCCAAATCGATACTTTTAAAACGGTACCGGTGCCTGAACCGATACTTAAAAAAAATTTTTTTTTACCCAAAATAGGATGGATTGGCCATTATTGAGCGCTATAAACACATTTAATGTCGGTTTCATTCATACTGGACGCCAGAGGGCGCCCTCGCGCAGAAACTCCACATGTGCATCACAGAAGTAATAGAACTCAGGAAATCCCTAATATGGACATGCATTGCTATTGCTGTAACTGAGTAAACAGAAGATATAAACGTTTTGAATGATAAAACAAAGACAATAAACACTCGACTGCGACAATGTATAGTTTATCTGTGTTATTCAAGCCATCTTTGGTATTTTCATCATAATTAAGTATATTTATAATCCATTGCTAATCGACATAGCCTTTTTACCATATGCTTTTAACAGTATAGAACATATTTTTTTGCCTCATTCTGTGACAAGAAGCCACATCAGATAACAAAAGGATGCAGTTGTGGAGTAAAAACGTTATAGTGTTCTCTTTTGTTGGACAACAGGTTTAGAAATGTTTCTCATTGCAAGTCATTAAAAGGGAAGTTTAGCTTTAGGCATTTTAATTTAAGAATGTTTAGCTTAGCTAGCTAACGGTATCTACCTGCTGCCATCAGAGCAAGGGACACTCGCGTTACTACAAAGATGTGTTGGATTTGTATTATTAGAGCTTTCCGACTTGCGTTTGTGAATTTTCTCAGTCGGGAAATTATTTTTCACGTGCGGTGCCGGTGACCCTTACGTCCATTTCGGAGAACCAGAGGACAAATTTTTCAATCGATCGCTCGGGCATGGCACCGAAATCTGCGTTCTGATTCGGTTCTAGTACATACCGGTTACATAGGTATGGCACCGGGTTTTGGTACCCAACCCTATAAAGAAGTGCCACTAAGAGCTGCAGATGACGTGGTTATTTTTACAGTAGTTGCAGAAACAAGGCAAGGGGCAAAAAAGGTTGATACATTTGCTAAAACGCTGCAGAAAACAACAATGCTGCAAACATATCTGATCGTTCAAACCAGGTTTGTGACAAGACAATTTTTTTCCATCTACATTTAGCATTAATACATTTTTGCATTACATGTTAAAATAATAATAGCTTGACAAAACATCTGATCTTACCTTTTAATATTCATATCTAATTATGGTCAACTGATGAAATATTTTATTTATTTATTTTGTCATAGAAAATGTTTTGGCTCTGAGGACCCAATATTGTCATTTTTTTTATGACTATCTTGACTATTTATATATATATATATATATATTTGTATGTGTGTGTGTGTGTGTATTAGGGATGCAGCGATTAACCGGTTTCGCGATTAACCGATATATATATATATGTGTGTATATATATATATGTGTGTGTGTGTGTGTATATATATATATATATATATATATATGTTGTGATGCCTAAATTCACGTGTAGTATTTTAAATTATTTAATTTAGTTAGTTTAGTGCTTTATTTGTAATTTATTACAAATTTATTTATTACACAAAATGATATAGAATTTTTATATCTGCAATTTTTTGCTTAATTTAAAAATATTAATTTAGAGTATATAGTTTTAATATAGAGAATAGAGTTTTATTTTTCATTTATTTAGACAAAATAATATACTAGACTTTTAATATCTGCCGTTTACCGGTTATCACCTATAACATGAAAGTAAGTACATTTTTTTTGGTATTGACCAGAATTTTAATATCATTGCACCTCTAATTCTACAATATTCTCTTAACAGATGTGGCCATCAGTTGTCCGTTTGGTGGGGAAAACAAACAAGGACTGGTGCTCATCTATAACGGACATGCTGGAGGACTCAGGGAAAAGCCCTCTCAGGTGATTGCTGGCCAATGGGCCTCTGCCGCAACATCAGCTCTACCTGCCAGCTTTGGTTACGCCCTTCGTGGAGGCAAAGATCTGGATAACAATGGCTACCCAGGTGAGAAAACTTAGTCTCTTTACCTACCATAAACCACCGCCATTACTGTTGAAATCTAGTCTGATACCATGTTTTGTTTTTTTTTGTTTTTTGCAGATCTTATTGTTGGCGCATTTGGTGCAGACGCTGCAGTTCTTTACAGGTCAGTCACAGACATGAAGACTAGAGTAATGGCTGCTGAAAATTCAGCTTTGTCATAACAGGAATTAATTACATTTTAAAACGTACTAAGATTATAATAAACAATTAATTAAAATTGCTATAATGTTTCACAATATTACTGTTTTGATCTATTAAATGCAGCCTTGGTGAGCAGACTAAATACTTTTGGATGTTATGTCATTTCCAGGTCTCGTCCTATTGTGAACACTAGTGCCACCTTGACTGTCAATCCAACTATGATTAATCCTGAGGAGAAAGTTTGCACCATAAGCCATGGGAACGAAACCCTGCATGTGTCCTGGTATGTCTGCCATCTTGTATCAGCCAGAATTTATTGCATTCCTGGTTCAAAGCAGTAAATAGATTTTATTAGACTGTTTATCCAAATCCTAAACATGCAGTAATAGGAGAAAAGATCCTGATCTTTCACATTTAACGGCATTGAAGTACACTTAAGTAGGAATTTAAAAAATCAAATTAGGTAAATTAAGCTTACTTCATTACATCCACAGTCAGGCTTTGTATGTCAGGCTGGACATATAGAAGGGTGTAGTTATGCTGTCAGTGAAGACTTTTCCCAATGGTTTGGACATGCTATGCTGGTTGAGAGTGAGCCAAGAAGGTGGCGAAAAGCATGAAATGCCCTTTTCCCACCTCCATGACGTGCATTATTGAAATATGCATCTGTGGAGGGAAAGGAACCTCCGCTGGACTGGCCTCTCTCTGACGTGAAATGTCTGTGTCTCCGCCTGTTCTCTTTTTTACAGGGAAAGTTTGTATACGCATTGATTACAAGTCGTTGCCTAGACACAGAGGCTTTTGGGAGAAATTAGAGAGTGAGAGAGAGAGAAAGGGGTTTAGCAATGGCTTTGAATGAGATATTGTTTAGTGGTGGAACACAGCTGGGAAACATCAGGACGCACTGAGCTGCACATGCATGTGAGCACACACACACACACACACACACACACACACACACAGGTTTGTTTTTGTGAAAAGTGGGGACATCCCATAGGCGTAATGGTTTTTCTACTGTACAGACCGTATATTCTATTGCCCTACACCAACCCTACCCCTAAACCTACCCCTTACAGGAAACTTTGTGCTATTTCAGATTTTCAATACACTCCATTCTGTGTGATTTATAAGTGTTTTGAAAAGTGGGGACATGGGGTAATGTCCTGAAAAGTCACCTTCTCCTTGTAATACCTATGTCATACCCTTGTCATTATACAAATGTATGTCCTCATTTGTCACAAAAACGCGCACACACACACAGATGAATACTGAGGCTTACACACACACATGAGAACACGCTGTGTTTATTGCACAGGTCAAAAGTAGCCTGGATTGCGATTTTTCTTTTTTTTTCTTTCACTCTTCCCCTTCTGTATCTTGTTTCTTTTTTATGTTTTGAATACTTCCTTTTCTTTTGTTACTTTTTCATCTTTTTTGGGAAACTTTTTCACCTTTTCTAAAATGTTTTCATTCTTTCTTTTAAACTCTTTCAAACTTTTCAAATATTCTTGATCAGCACTTTTTTTTTTGCTTCCTTTAGTTGGACCCTCATTTATTTTCCACAAAATATTAAGCAGAACAACCATTTTCAACATAATAAGAAGAAATGTTTCTTAAGTACCAAATCAGCATATTAAAAGGATTTCTGAAGGATCATGTGACACTGAAGAGTGTAGTAATGGCTGGAGATTACATTTCAAAATATATTCAAAATTGTAATAATATTCCATAATATTGCTATTTTTACTATATTTTTGATCAAAGAAATGCAGCCTTGGTGAACGTAAGAGACGTCTTTCAAAAACTTTTGAACAGTAGTGTACATTACATCAGTTTCCAGCACAGACATAATCCATAACTGTGTTGTGTGATCCATTATACTGGAGCCATCCTTCCTTCAAGCTGTCAAGCGTTATAGCCTGAGGAAACAATAATAGCAAATATTTCATAGCCAAAGAGATGCAACCAATGTGTTTTTAATGCGTCATTGTAATAAATCCACTCATCTCTCATAATTTGTCTGCTCTGCCTCTTACAGTGTCAACCTGAGCTTTTGCCTCTCAGCCAATGGGAAGCACCTACCAAATCATCTCGGTAAGCCACATCTGCTCTTGTTTACCCACCTATTGATCCAAAGTCCTCTAAAATAGTATTCCTTTTTAAATAAGCAACCATCTAGAACACTAGTCATGCCCTAACAATCTCCCGCGCAATGTGGCGAACAGTTATTCTAGGACTTATTTTTACTTAATTTCCCTCACCACCTAAAATAAATGTTTTTTGGCTTCTAACAGAGCCTTCATGTTTCCCATTCCATCCATAAACCTTTCTTTGTCCATACATAACCTTTACAATGTATTTATTCAGTAATGAGTTCCCTCTATTCCCCCCTGGGCTAATGATACCACCACATGCCCTGCATTTAGAGACCTAGACTATGTGCAAAGAATAACACCTACTGCACACGCTCAGATAACTGAGCACAGGTGCACAACATACATCTGAACGGCATGCAAATTCCTTCATGCCCTCATGCCTTTCCATCAAAAGCATTATGGCTTTTCTTATAGTCATTCTCTTCAGCTGTTTGATAATAATAAAAACTAAATGTTTGGAAGAAGTCTTCACAAAGTTCTTATCTGCCCACTAGGCTTTGAGATTTAGTGCTGTGTCAGCTTGGCTTCATCCTGCACCCGTATGCCAGAGCCAACATGAAGACATTGTGTCCGAAACATTTCTAAATATATCTGATAATGGGTGTGTGTTGTAGAGTTTAACGTTGAAGTTCAGCTGGACCGTCTGAAGCAGCAGCAGAAAGGGGCTGCACGTAGAGCTCTGTTTTTAGACACCCAGCTTCCCGCTCTGCAGAGGACTCTGACTGTGCCAAATGGAGCCAGAGTCTGCAGTGACACCAAGATCTACTTGCGGGTGAGTTTGACCCCAGTTTACCTACAAAACTTTGTAAAGCGGGACATTAATGGTGCACTAAATAGCAGGGTGTTGTGGACTTGAGTCGTATGACTTGGACTTGAGTTTCATATCTGATGACTTGTGACTTGACTTTGACAGCAATGACTTGACTTCGGACTACAATGCAAAGAATTAGGGCTTTCATGTGACTTGCAAAATAATGACTTGGTCCCACCTCTGCTAAATAGTATATACAGTGTATAAAAGTTGGATATGAAATGGTGTAGCGTTATGTCTTAATGTGGCATTGAGAAGATATTCATTGTTCAATGTGCGTTTTATGAGGAAGGGGATTGTGAGCCAATGAGAATTAAGAGTATGTGGGGCTAACCACAGGAAACATTGAGTGGAAAAATGACCTGCATCATTTAAGTGAGTTAGTTGTCCATTTCCTAGTAAGTGTTAAAAGTGAAGATACGTAAGATAAGTGTGGCAATAGACGCCAAAAATGCAGCAAGGGATTAAGAGTATCGTTTCGTCCTGCTTTCTGACCTTTCTCACAAACTCCCGCTCTGTTTTCCTCTCTGTTGGAGTGTAGGATGAGAAGGACTTCAGGGATAAGCTGTCACCTATCTTCGTTGCGCTCAACTTCAGCCTGAACCCTCAAGCCGCGGCAGACAGATACGGTCTGCGGCCCATCCTCAACTACCAAACAGCAGAGCTCATCGAACAGAAAGTACATACATCTAATGCTGCAGATATCCCACAATGCTTTATTTGAACAAACTGAGGTTTTGCATGGAGCGGTAGGTTCTTCTCCTGCTTTATGAAGAGATTTTCAAAACATACATCTGGGATGTTCTCCAAATTGTCTGGAAAGCCATTTGAGAGATGAAGGAAATGTGTAGCGTGTACGGCAGAGAACTTTTCACTGTCCCACCAGGAGTAGCTTTCTGGGCTTTATGGAAACTCCACTGTAGAGGTGTTTGTGGGTATAGAGGGTTAATAGATTTCTGTTTTTTTTCTGGGCGGGTTGGCCATATGCCGTCTGTTTAGCTTGAACTTTTTGGGTGGTAGTTTTCTCTCAGTAGTTATTGAGACCGTTCCGAACACATGGGCCGCACTGACCATATGCAGAATCATTCTAATCAGAGGTCTTGGAAACATTGCAGATGGAACGATCTTCTAAACTTTCGCTTATTCAAACCAAAAAACTTAAGTGGAAGCCCTTTTATTCATGATAAATGAGTGTTCTTTATAAAGGAAGAGAAAATCATTTAAAAGTCTAATTAAAAAAAAAAAAAGTCAAATTTAAAAGTCATTTAAAAACACATGTGCCAAGTTTTTAGAAATGTACTTTTGTGTTCACATTGGTTTTATATTGTTTAAAATATTGTTTTAAAAAACAAAAACGTAATAATAATAATAATAATAAATTATTATTATTATTATTATTAAAGTAACTTATATTTTTGTATAGTATAGATATATAAAAATATCAACAATTTTCTTAGAATAATTAAATAAAAATTTAATAATAATTATTAACAATGTTTTTATATTTTTGTAATATTATATAAGCATGTAATTATATACTATCATATAAATATTATATAAATATTATATAAATATATAAATGTGTTTCAGAAAGTCATAATAATAATAACAACAACAGCAACACAATATATTTTATATAATACACAATATATTTAATATAAATACAAATATTACATAAATATACACAATATTTAAAGCAAATTATAACAATAATGAAAAATAATTGTATTATTATTTCAATTATTTTCCTAATAAAAAAATAATAGATTATGTCAAACTTCAAAGACCTTTCTTTTTTTAAGAATTAGTGGAATAAATTAATAATCTTATATGTTGATATATATATATGGTGAGAGTTGGGTGGTGTCGCATGCAGCTAGCATGCGGTTCAGGGTCGGCGGCAGCCTCTGATGTGGATGTTGGTGGCAGATAGAACAGCCTTATGGGTACAACCATAGCTGTTTATCCCTTCAAGTGCTTACTTGTTTATTTTTGTATAGTATAGATATATAAAAATATCAACAATTTTCTTAGAATAATTAAATAAAAATTTAATAATAATTATTAACAATGTTTTTATATTTTTGTAATATTATATAAGCATGTAATTATATACTATCATATAAATATTATATAAATATTATATAAATATATAAATGTGTTTCAGAAAGTCATAATAATAATAACAACAACAGCAACACAATATATTTTATATAATACACAATATAATTAATATAAATACAAATATTACATAAATATACACAATATTTAAAGCAAATTATAACAATAATGAAAAATAATTGTATTATTATTTCAATTATTTTCCTAATAAAAAAATAATAGATTATGTCAAACTTCAAAGACCTTTCTTTTTTTAAGAATTAGTGGAATAAATTAATAATCTTATATGTTGTCTTTACTTTCAAGGGACTATAAATGTGATGCTCTGTATTCATTTCGCCTTTAGATTGAGATGTTTTGGAGCTCCTTTGATAAATGTTGTGAGTGATCCCGCCTGACGCCCTCCCATTTGTTGACCCAATTATGCTGTTTTCAGACCTTGACACTTCCGTAAACACTTTATGGTGGTTTTGGCTGTGGATCAACTTGGACATATGCACATGTGACCCTCTCTTTTATCTCTGCTTGGGCTTCTAATTGTTTGGTTGCTCCAGTGATCCCAAACAACCCTCTTCAGGAGGTTCGGAGCAGCCCGATACAGAGCTATGGAAAGGGCTGGCTGCCCTCATCGGTAGTAATTAGAGCTCAGCAACTGCTGATTACAGGGAAGCCACTTTGCCCTTTCTAATCTCCCTATTCTATTTTCTTATCCTCATCGTCATGTTGCGTCATCCTCGCACATGTTAGAAATATGGCATCAGGTGGTAGCAATTAGCCGCGGCACCACTTTCCCCATTTCTTTGTTTTAGATTCTTTCATAAATTGTATACGGATACTCTCCCTTATGGGTACAACCATAGCTGTTTATCCCTTCAAGTGAGCTCTATTTGTTTTTTGAAGCCTGTACACATCTGCTCTTCAAACCAGAATTAATTCAGCAGTGTTTACTAATCTTTTTTAGGCTGAGGAGTGTTTACCCGTGTAAACGGTAATGTTTATATTCATTTTGTACGATGGTGTATTAGGCGTCAATATTGTCTGACTATTACATGGTCATGCGCTAATACTTGACCTAACTGAACGCACTGTTTATAATGCAGCCGGCCGCTGCTGTCTGTTGTTGTTTAGTTGGGATGCTGGTTCTGGGAAGTGTGTCTAAAAGTATGTCTATCAGGGCGATGACACCTGCAGGTGGTATCCTTCATATGATTAAGAAAATGACTGGAGAATCTCAGACAAGTTCTTTTTTTTAGATCCCATTGCTCGTAAATGAATGGCTAACCTTCTGTTTTTACTCTTTTGTTTGTTTGTTTATACATTTAATTACTCAAAAAATATTATCATTGATTTATGTTATGCTGAATTAATTTTTTTTCTAAAAAATAACATTTATTGTTGTAGATTATGGCAAATTTCGAAAGCTTTTCTTTTCAATACATTTAAGCCTCCCACCAATTTATAAAAATGAATTTTAATTCAGAAATTAAAAACATTATTGTCATGAATTGCATTTTTAATGTATTATGAAATAAATGAATGGATCTGGAAAAAAATAAGTCTTTGCATTTGCGTATAACTGTAGATCTGTCTGGCTTCATTTTGGAATGCAATGCCCACTTCTCACCATCCAGTAAATTCCTTGAAATATAAAATCAGGTCCCAGCTCCCTTTTTCTCATATAATTCCCTGTTTCACTAAAATAAGTCACATTCTGAAACTGAAATATGTTGCAAATTGATGACTATAATCTCTCAGTAACTTACCTTAATGTTTTTCTGGCTTGTGTTCTAGGCCCAGATTTTATTGGACTGCGGAGAGGACAACATCTGCGTCCCTGACCTGAAACTCTCTGTGCATGGGTAAGATGATTAGCAAGGAATGCAAAGAAGAAATAAAAGCCTGGGGTTTAGTGTGCTTGTTGCAAAGTTTGCAGCAAAGGCACGTTTGAAGTAAAACTATTTTAGGCATGAGAAATGAGTAATGGCTATTCTAGCTACTGTTTAGATTAGATATTTGGATAAATATATGTGATTCATATTCATATATGTGAATATATGGACAGAGTGTTCCCAGGTGAGATTAGTGACACACACACACACACACACACACACACACACATGCATAGATACACAGGAAAAAAACAGGAAGGAGGGCTATGCAACAGGTGCTGGGATTGGCTGACTTGGCTTGTGGAAAAAAAACTGCATAGATGAAGCAGATAAATTTGGAAAACCGTGGCTCCCTTTTTCCTGCAGTTGATTTGTAAAATCTGTGAGTATTTTCTCTCTCTTTTATACACGGATTTGTTTGTATCTGTTGTTATACTTCGACTGCAAAAATATGCCTTACCAAAAACCTTACAGATTTGTTGCGTTTGTCTTAGGTCACATATTTATTAAACTGTGGAGGGCATTAATTATCTCCACAGAGTCTTTGGATTTTCTCGTCATCCAATAACAGCGGGAATAGTATGTCTTGGAAATTCACTCGAGGGGTTATTCTATAGGAGAGTATGTGAAAATGCATCTAGACAACTTTACAGGGACGCCTGTACAACATGGCTATTCTTTAGTACAGCTGTCAGCATCTGTTTCCCAGGTCCAGGTTTCAGTCAAATTCACTTTTATACTAAATCATTTCCAAGTGATTATTAGAACTTACCAGTGTTAATTTGTTGTAAAGATCACGGTGTTTATTTTGAGTAGCCATTGAATGCAAATCATGACCTCCTTGTGACATGAACCCAACCTCATATGTGCCATCTGGAGGGGTTTGTTATGAAAGTGCAGCAAGCACTGGCTTCCACATAGGTTCGAGTCCCTCACCAGCCGAGTGCCAGCGTTTGAATTCTGTGCATGCCGCTTCCCCAGCATGGCTTTACGAGGCCAGGCCGTAATTGGAAGCGTCTGTGTGGCCCTCTCATGGAATTTCTCATTGTGTCTGAGATGTAGAGAGAAAAGAAAAGGGGGAGGGAACACGAGGGAATAGAAAAAAGGGAACTTTGCGGAATGTTTCACAGTCGTTGTCGTTGCATGTTCGACTTTATAGCTACAATGGAAATTAGGGGATTTAATAGGAAATGTGTGTTACAATGCAGGAGGAAGGGCTCCCTGTTGGAAAGATCCGAGTGATATTTTACTGCTAGATCAGAATACAGTCAATGTCCTGTGTGCTTAATACTTTAGAGCTAGTATAAAAACTACTACACAGGTTTTAGATGGCCAGTTAGTGGTGTTTGTTAATGCATTGACTTAAACATTGTTTGTGTCTGAAAGTACAATTTGTATATTTGCTCTGGACCCTATAGAAATAAATTGGCCACCAATGGAAGAGTTTTATGTTTTGTTCACGTTTTGGTTCCGCAGGGACAGGAAGGAAGTGTACATGGGCGATGACAACTCTCTGACACTGACTTTCAACGCAAAGAACGATGGAGGCGGAGCGTACGAAGCCGAGCTGTTTGTGGTCTTGCCACCAGAGGCCGACTACAGCGGAATAGCCCGCAATAATGAGGTGAGATATGGAGACCCTCCCTCCAGGTGCTGCCTATTACACGGACGTGTGCCAGATCCCATCCATTAACTCCTACATGTGTTCAGCATTTCAGCTGAGAAAGACCTTTGTTCTGTCACTTTGATACTCAAGAGAAAACGTGTTTTTTTATTAATGGAGACATGTGATGAGAAATCCTCAGCGTTCGGCATTTTAATGCAGTGGTTTTGGGGTCCATGGAAAATTTAAAAGAAAAAAATAACAATTTACAAAATTACAACATTTTTATTACTATAAATAATTAGAATCATATTTTTGCTTCAAATAAATGTCATAATAAATACAAGTATTTTTGCTTTAGTACAATGACAATGTAGAAACCAATTATTTGACTTAGTAAACAACGTGTCTTTATAATATCTTTTCCTTATACAATATAAATTGGTCTTTATATATGAAAATATATAGAATACTTTATATTTTAAGAAGAAGGTCCCTTGCAAGAGGATCTTGGGAATCACAAAGGATTAACTCCTGTTTTAATGAATTGCTTATTTTGAACCGTAACGCCGTGCAAGGATCAAAAATGTAACATTCAGCAAAAGTACCACAACTGGTCTAAGCAGGTCAAGACATGAGTCAGGGGTATGAGTTATCATTCTGTGTGAGTGTTTCCCGAAATTTACTGGTCTTTTTCTCTTGTTTCTCTGGACAGAGCCTGGCCCAACTGACCTGCAGTTATGAGACGGAAAATCAGACCCGCTACCTCAGCTGTGACCTGGGGAACCCCATGAAATCAGGCACCAGTGTAAGCACTTAACACTCTCCACACACACTTTTATCAAGTGCAGTTGAATCTTACTGCTTTTCTAGCATGTCTGAGAATTTTAAAAATTATGATTTGAAGAGTCATGGAAATGAGTAGAATCTTATGAAGTAATGGAAATTACATTTCTATATTGAATCTTTATCTGCCGATCTATACATCTGTTGATCTACTGTTATAGTATATGTAGTTATAGTTTTGCTCAGCTCTTGCATTTTTCATTGACTAGAAATTGCTTTTTGTGTGTGCGGTCTCTATAAAACAATTTATAATTATCCAGTTATCCTTTTCCAGTATTCACAAACGCCTGGAAAAATGTTAGTTGGCTCATAGTGCTGTCTGGGGGGTTTGTTGAGGGCTGTTTTGGATCAAGCAGGAAGTCCCCACCAGTGATGCAGGAAGTGACAGTCATTTTGGCTGTACCCCTTTAGAGAGTGGAGTTCCCCTCTCCAAAATGCCACTGTGTGGAGGTGGAGGGACCTGTGGCTTTTTAATGTGTCTGCAGAGATGGAGTATAATTGGGTGACTGTTCAAACTGCTCCCTGTCTATGTCTTTCCAGACCCTGTTTCTTTTTTTAGTCGATGCAACGCTGCTCTCATTAGTTCAGGGCAGGTTATCTGGGTGTTTTATTCAGCAGTTTTATTATGAACGCTATTTTAGCTCATTATCTTTGGATTCCAGGACCACCAAAGAGGTTCCTCGTAACAACTTGGCCTGTATGTGTAATTGTATTTCATGCAATGAGAAATTCAGAAGTCACACCCACCCCCACGCACACGTGCATGGACACCCACACCCGAACTCTCACACACTGAGTTGAGGGAAAATGAGAGATGCTCGTATGGGCTCTGATTGCTAGAGTTTGTGTGCATGCGGAGGGAGCATAAAACCACAAATATAAAAGGGAGGCTGGAACTCCCATGCAGCCTGGGTTTGGGTAGGTGACTTTAGCATTTTAGGGCATTAACTAAGTGGAGTGCTTTTGTCAGTACACCTAAACATGACATCACTGAGATGAATGAGAGAGGATACATTTTAGTGTTTCCACTTGTGTTTTTTGGATGGAATACAGGAAAGGAACATTCCACCAACTTCAACATCCATTCTGTTGCTATGGCAGTGCATTATGGGGGATTGGTGTGTTGTAGAGAATTCTCTGATGTAATTCTTGGAAAGCTGAATTTTCAGTATTGTGGCATTGCTAATATTGTTGGCTCCTTTATGAGAAATTGTTTGTATTTCTGTCATTTTGGGGGTGTTTGAATGAATGAATGAAATATCCATACATATGTATTTCTAGGAAGTGAGTTTGGAATTATTTTAAATAAATTATTTTGTTATATTTTCAGTTATGGGCTGGACTGCGATTCACAGTACCACGTCTCAAGGACACACACAAATTTGTGCAGTTTGACCTACAGATACGTAGGTATGAAACTTGAAACCAGTGCACACAGCTTTAATGTGTTTTTGTTTTATTTTGTTTTATGGTGTTTTACCTAAGTGTCTTTAAAAATAAACATTCACACTATCTATAGACAGTTAAACTATACTGTAGCAAACATAAATAACTGTTAAGTACTTTTGCATAGAAAACATATCATTGTTTGAATTGGGATTTTTTTTCTTATTTATAAATAAGAAATGTATAAAGAAATATATAAAAAGGAAATCTTATATAAAGAAATAAACTTTTTTTTATTGATATTTAAAAAAAATATATGATTGCCTATACAAAATTGAATGATTTATTTATTTAAATATGTATTTCATATTGGCCATCATATACATTTTTAATTATAAGTGAGACTATTGTGGTCCCTGATATTTCATGCATCTTATAAATATATGGTTAGGTTAGTTGCACATGCCCTTAAAGAGGCTTTAGTATGCTCTTTAATAAGTTCTCCATCTCTCCATCTGCAGTAAGAATGAGAATAACTCCCAGAGTGAAGTGGTTCCCTACAAGTTGGAGGTGGTGGTCCGGTCTGATGTTATTCTACAGGGGTGAGTTCTCATGCAGAACCCATTTATAAGCACTTCACAAGACCACAGCTCTTCTGGAACTCTCACTAGGAAGCTCTCCCTGTTCCTTCACTTTTCATTTTCCCGTCTCTCTTTATCTCTCATTTTACAGTGTCTCCCGACCAGACAAGGTCTTCTTTCCTCCACCGAACTGGAAGTTGACCAAGAATGTGATGGTTGAACAGGATGTCGGACCCTCCGTCCAGCACACTTACGAGGTAAAGACCTTGTCTGAGTTGTTCAGTTGGACTTGAAGTCAGAGAGGACGGTCATTGATAGGAATCCATAGTAAAAGCTATATATTCCTGTGGTGTAATTATGGGATGTATGGTTTTGCCTAGCAACTAGCAGTTAAATTTGCAGTGTTTTAAATGTTAGCCCTGCCAGCTTTTTTTTGAGCTAGAGACTTCAAATAATTTTAGTAAAACTTTTTCATGAACTCCTCGTTAAAAAATTCATTCATTCATTCATTCATTCTTAATCCTTTTACAAGCAAAAATAAAATGTATATAAATAAAAAAGACTGTCAATGCAACACCATAGACAGTCAAATGTTGTTTCTTCATTGAAAACGTGTTCGTATGCAATTTGTGATTGTACAATCAGAGATCTTTTTAATTTAATTTAAATTTTATGAAATGAAATGAACACAGAAGTCACTAAGTCCATTTCATGTCGGTCAGTTCCGCTAATTGCTGCTTGCAGTTTGGTTTCTTTATATGACACATACTTTCTGTTAGGGTTTTGCTGATGAGTCACGCAAAACTTGCACATGGAGAGGTTGTCATGGAGAATCTCCAAAAGCTACACAGAGGTCCTGAAATAGCACAAGGCATCAAGCCATCCTTTTATGATGACCAGAAAGTACAGAAACACCTGTGGAGTTGCTTTAGCAGCACAACTTAATCTTGTGGTTGTGATGGCATATGATGTAATCGTGAAAATGACAAAGCAGCAGCCTTGTTTTTAAACTGAAGTGGTTGAGAGGATTATGACATAACATACACTTGACTCATATCTCTCTTTCTCTGTCCGTTTCTCTTTCTCAGTTGGTGAACAACGGGCCGAGCCGCATCAGTCACACTCTACTGCAGCTCAAATGCCCCATGAGGCTTCAAAGTAACAGGTTCATTTACCCGCTGGAGGTCACGACGGAGGGCCCTGTTAACTGCACCACCCACAACATAGTCAACCCCCTGAACCTCAAGGTAAGAAGCTGTAGGTTAACTGCAGGGCAGAGATTTAATCAGGGTACGAACTGACAAAATAATTAAGACTTGGGTGATTTCTGTCATTATGTTCACGACTTTGATCTGTCAGGCTTTTCTTTTAAAGCACCGTTTATGGGTGAACTTGCCTGGGTCATATTTCACCCATAATGAAAAAAAGGAAGAAAACAGATTTTACTTTAATTTGATATAATGTATAATACTATATAAATATCATAATAATATCTCAAATAAAAAGTTATTATTAATGTATTTTTATTCAAAATAAAAGAAGCTTATTTTTAGTTACACAGTAGTGACATTATTTTAATTAAATATTTAAATTTTAATCTATCTATCTATCTATCTATCTATCTATCTGAACCAAATAAGTTTATATCTATCTATCCTATTTTGTAAGTATTTATATACCATGGTAGTATTTGTTTTTGCTAATATATATATATATATATATATATATATATCATTCCCAATATTTTAAATATATAATTGAGAATAATGACAATTACATTAAAATGTCCGAGCACATTATAATAATGACAATTTGAAGAGAAAATGTGCCTAGTTGTAATGAAAATAACGTCATGTAAAAAGCTTTGATTGAATTAAAATATGCTTAGTTTTCTTCATTAAAAACGTATAGCTGAAATATGACCCGGACATATTCTTGATGGGTCATTTGAAATGTATTCTTATAGGGATGTGAAACTGTTGTAATTTCTGCTGTAAAGACATTAGAGATGGGAGAGTCACACGCAGTCATGTGAGGAGAGAACAGATGTGCATCAGAACATCATGAACTCTTAAAAGCAGCAGAGCTTGTTGATGACAAGCTAAATTTAAACTTAAGGGACATGCACTGTTAGTAACACCCAGTTTGTCCCGTACAGTCAAATACATATGCCCAACACATGCACACACCACCCATCCATCCATATTACCTAATATGTCCTTTCTTAGAGCCCACCCTGTCACTCATACAGCCCCACCCAATGGCCTTAAACCAGCCTTTGATCCTCTCATCTCACTCTGCTTCCCTTCATGCTTCACGTCCCACTGCTGTCTATATAAACACAGCCATCAGCTCAATCAGAGCTCTTTTTGAAAGACCCCTCTACAGCATCTTTCTCTGTCTCACTCTAGGGTTATACAAATGATATGAAAAAAGTGTGGGTCATGTGTTATAAAAGAATAATGAATCTTATAAAATCTAATGATTATTCTATAGGTTATAGTGGTTTGTATACCTCTGTCTCTCTCTTTTGGGCCATCTGATGGACAGCCTCACCAATCTGGATGATTCGTAACACAAAACTGCTGTTACATCTGGGATTGTGCAGAATTTCTCCCCAAAGTGGTTGTTTGTTCAGGTTCTCATGCCGTTTAGGGTGTGTTTCTTGGTTTTGAGGATTGTATTGCTCTGCACAATGGAGAAGTTGAGTAAAATTCGGAAATCTGTTGCAAAATGCCCCTTGTGTCCCACATGATGTATCCCTCCCGTTGAGCTCACGGCTCAATGTCGGTGTTGAGTCAGAGGGCGTCAGTACAGACTGAACCGTGATGTCAGAGTTTACAATGTCCAAAAGGGCGGTGAGTTTCCACTTAATGTTCTGTTCCCTTTTCCCCTCTCTCTCTGTAGCTCCAGCAGTCTTCTACCGAGCAGCCTCCTTTACGAGATGCGGTAAATCTGTTGCAAAATGCCCCTTGTGTCCCACATGATGTATCCCTCCCGTTGAGCTCACGGCTCAATGTCGGTGTTGAGTCAGAGGGCGTCAGTACAGACTGAACCGTGATGTCAGAGTTTACAATGTCCAAAAGGGCGGTGAGTTTCCACTTAATGTTCTATTCCCTTTTCCTCTCTCTCTCTGTAGCTCCAGCAGTCTTCTACCGACCAGCCTCCTTTACGAGATGCGGTACACAAACACCACATTGAGAAGAGGGAAGCGCACAAGGGCGAGCTGTCTCAGCTGACCAATCTGGTGAGATTTCTTTAAAGTGAAGGGGGGAAAAGGTTATGAAAGGAAGTCAAAATGCACAAAGAAAGTGAGCGAAACATTTGCTCTGTTCAGAGACCTAATGAGCTGCCTACATAGGGACAAATGAAATGAAACCTCATAAGTGAGTGATTTAGAAAACTCTACACAGGCAGCATCTCAAATAACCCAATTAGCACGCATTGATTCCAATAAAGTTTGAGGTTACCATGTTGCTAAGTGAAAAACCCTGCTAAAAACATCTTAAACTAGCATAACTGGTTTGCTGGTCAACTAGCTTGGTCAGGCTGGTCTGTTGGCTGGTTTTAGAGTGGTTTTGGACACTTTTCAGATGGTTAGACTGAAAGACCAGCTGGCCGGCCAGTTAACACCAACTCGGCCGTGCTGAGAGACCGTCTTAAAGCAGCTAAGACCAGCAAACCAGCCTAGGTTGGTTTAAGTGGGTCTTTTCAGCTAAGGGGGAAACTCTAATGTGCAAAACCATACGTAGCCCACACAAATATTGGTTAAAATGGAAAAAATTTAGATAAAAAAAATTCAATGCTTTTGCTTTCACTCACTTCTGTTTCAAAAACTGGTGATGTAATTAATATGGGAGGAAAAGCTATATTTCATTACTTTTGCACTTTCTTACAAAAGTTTTGCGTTCCCCTGAGAAACTTTTGTGAGCAAACAAATGATATGAAACTATATTTCAAACTTTTGTGAGCAAACAAAGCTTCTTCTGGGAACGCAAAAGTTTCAGAATGAATGCAAAGTTTCTCAGGGGGAATGAAAAAGTTGAATTAAATCTGTTTATAATCCAAAATGGTGGTAAAATTTGGACACAAATGCATTCTGGGATTACATTCACCTTGAAGGACACACACGATGCTGCCTTTGAATTTGGCCAAAACTGAATAATTATGATGGGTACCTTTTGGAACAGGCTTTGCATCCAGAATGCCTTGCCTGCTGATGATGCCTTAAAAACTCTAGGTCTAGGTAGGCTGCTCACTAGGTTTTGGAATGCATTTACTGAGTACTGGAAGGTCAACATGAGTCATTTGTGTTGGGTAAAATGCAAATGTTGAACAAACACATCTAATTCAGCGTTCTCATGACCTCAGATGGCATAAGACCTTTCGTTCACTAGTGTTGTAACTCAGAAGGTCAAGTCATACAGGGTCAAAGATCTGCTGTGACTGATTGGCTGCCATTCAAGATGTTTTGCTTGGTTGGTTTAGGTGTATGTGTGTGTGTGTGTTTGTGTGCTTGCGTATGTGCGTGACCATGTGATAGAACATTAATGACCTCATTACTCTCCAAAGTGATGGGTCTGCTGAAATGTCCTTGCTCTACCCTCTAATTTCCCGTTCTTCTCTGCGTCATTAACCTCTTCAGCTAGCACTTCTCTCAGACAGCAGCTGATTGTGTCGTCCAGCTGTAGGTAGCTCTCATCCTTGCTCTGTACCTGACCAAATGAATTTTGGCTTTGTCGCTTGTTGTGTTCAGTCGCCCACATTTATCATCTCTTGCTTGATGACGTGTTCCTAGAGGCCCATTTATTTCTTTGGCCTGCTCCCTTGTGCTTATTTTTATGAGGGAGAACAGGAGTCTTTGTTGACATGACTTAGTGAACAGTGAAGATGTGTTGTAGGATGCCAACCTAGGTTTGGATAAGATGATAAATAGCTGGTATACTACAAGATAAAAATGTACTTGAAGCAAACTTGACCAAGCCTGTCTATTATTATATTACATTACATTACATTACATTACATTATTGGCAAATAGTTTTATTCTTGTTTTAACCATTCAGATATCATTCAGTAATATTTAATGAATACTTAATGAGCACATAATATTTAATGAGTATTTACATTAAAACATGTATTATAAATAAATCTAATTTAAATTTTATATTTCAATTAGACTATTTTGGTGTCCGTTTCAAATTAAATTGATTAGAAAACAAAAACACAAGTTAGTGTCTGCATTAATGTTTCAAATAACTTTTGTGAAAATAACGTGAAAATATGGGTGAAATGTTCCATCATCATTCAACGTAACATATGTATGTAAAAATTTGAAACAACATACTTATTCTGACATGTAATTTTTAAAATACATAAAAGAATAAGTCATCATAATAAATTTTATTATATTTTAAATGATCAAAAACTTCTTGCTGACAAATGGGTAAAATCAAGTGGTTTGAAGGATAGTGGCAAAGATTGTTAAAGGTTTAAATTATGATTAGTTTTTGGGGGAGTCTTTTAATGTCATCTAATGATTCTGATTCTAAGTATGCCTGACAAGATTTTTTGATATATATACTATTGTTACACTGAATGACATTTTAGTGGGTGTCTTCTGTAAATCATGGTAAAAATGTATGATAGTCATTATTTTTTTGCTTATAAAAAATACATATATATTTTTTCTTAGAAAATTTGAACAAAAACTTTTAGTAGTGTGTGCATATATATATACACACACAAATATATGTGTGTGTGTGTGTGTGTGTGCAAACCCCAAACGTAGAAGTGGTCCATGTACCACTATATGGAAATTTGTATGTTCTGTGATCATTATTTCCTCACACTCCTAATGAAACGAATGTCACGTTACAAGGATCCGATGACGAATGTGGTAATGTACAGCTTGTAAAAACCAGTGAGCTAAATGTTATTGCGTCAGATGTTGCGTCGGAATTTGGCTTTAGGCAACTGTAGGCAAGATTTTACAGTCCTGTGACTCTACCAGTGAATTCCCACAAATTTAAAGCAGTCGATGCACAAGACGTTAACATTAGGTCTTTTTTCATCGTCATTGGCTCATGACGTGAATGTCTGTCTCATGGTCCCATCTCTCCATCCGGATCTTCACATTCATAATTATTTTTGGGTTTTTAATTAATGCTTGTGTCCCACATGACAGGCAGGCATGCTTTTATGGTGATTTTATTTATTTCTGCCTGGAAATTTAATTCACATGGTCTGTGTTTGTTTAAAGAGCACATCGTTTATGGCATCATTACATTTCAGTGTTATTTATTTAAATGACTGCTGTTATGAAGGGTTTGTAATGAGTTATGGCAGGTGCTAACATGCAGTGTGATGAAATACTTCTGTAAATTTCATTATGTTGATTCTATAAACTGATCATTATTAACTCTCTCTCTATTTTATTTTATTTATTTATTTTTTGATATCTTAGTCTTGCTCCAGTGTGGATTGCTGGACTCTAAAGTGTAACGTTGGCCTGCTGGAGAGAGGGACTAGTGCCATACTGCATGTTCGCTCACGGATCTGGGCAGAAACATTCATGGAGGTGAGTGGAAAACCTTGGTGCCAGCAGTCCAAAGCTGTCGTCTCTAGATTATTACTAATACTGCAATAAATGCAAAGCGTGGCTTGTACAAGCTTTCATACAGCCAAAATTCAGACTCCAGAGTTTTTAATGAAAAGCGTGGCTGTGTGTGGCGTGGTCACTACTAAGTGAGCTAACAGAGTTTGTAAATGTATGTTAAAGAGAGTCAGATGATATATCCAAACAGGAGCTCTTTTGAGAGACGCCTTACATGCTCTCTGCAGTTCTAGCCAATACAAAGCTTATAAGTGAGTGCATTGAAAATACATTAGGAGAAACTCTGAGAGCTCAGCGGATTGGAATGTTAGAGGGGTTGAAACACTGGGATTCAGTGAAACCATACTGCCCCCATCTGGATGCATGTGAGATTGTTACATAGAAAGCCTATTCAGTTCAGAACCACCAGTCACATTCTAATGCACAGCCAGTTTTACATGTTATTTATTTAACTTTTTACTATAGCACTTAGACATTTATTTGACCTTCTTTCTGTTATTGATGTTCTTTATTTGCAGAATCCTTATAAAAACTTTATTCTGGAGTGCCTTGCTAGTTACAAAGTGGAAAAGATGCCATATGCCATTTTGCCAAAAGTGACTCCTAGTGGTGCTAAAAAGGTAAACTTCATACCTAACTCATCTAATCGAATTCATGTTCGCCACTAGACATAATCTAGTTAGTTTGTATTAGTTCATTCATCCACCGATCTTCATCTTCTGTCTGTTACCTGTAGATGGTCACTCCTGTGGTCTGGAATAAGCCAGACAGTACGTATGCTGTTCCTCTGTGGATCATCATTCTGGCTATTCTGGCCGGTCTTCTGCTGCTCGCACTGCTGATCTACGTCCTCTACAAGGTCACTGTCTGCCATTTTGATTTCTAGTCAGGCTTGATGATCTAGTTGGACTAGCTAATCATGAACAAATGATTTTCCTTTGTAGTCAGACAAGCTTGCAACCATCAGTAAAGTAACTAGTAGCTAATCATAACTAAATCTTATCCTGGAAGTAGCTTGTTACTAATTGTAAACTAAGGCCATGTCCACACGTACATGGGCATTTTTCCTTCTTCCGTTTAAAAAAAAAATCTCCATCCACATGAAAACGCAAACGCATGCTATGAAGCACTGTCAAGTGCATGCCAAACCAACAGGTGGCGATATAATCTCAACCGTAAAGCCATGTTGGCCAATCAGAAGCCTGAAAAAGTCTCCAGTAGGTGGAGATAACAGCGCAGGCGCAGACGTCACAAGCCAAAAACTCCGGTTTCGCTGTCTACACGACAACACTGCAACCGGAGTTTTTGAAAATCTTCACCCTGGCAGGCGTTTTCAAAAATGTTCGGTTTCAGTGAACTGGTGCTGCGTTTGCGTGTGGACGAACGGCCTAACCGCGTAGAAAAATAGCCGCGTTCGTGTGGACAGGACCTAATTCTTATCCATTATTGCCGGACTGGTTGACCTGTTGACAATCATTAACAATTTTAATTAATAAATCAGAATCTTTGAAAGTTAGTAACTACTTGTAAACTAAATGTTATGCGCCATCTAATCACATGCTGATCATAAGTATAATAAATCATATTCTTCTTCAGACCATACTGTAAATAATAAACAAATTCTTCTTCATAGTTGAGTTAACTAACCATGAATAATTCTTTCATAATGGGGCTAACTTTTAGCTAATCATTAACTAAACCAGATCCCTTATCGCTAGACTAGCTTGTTACTGATTGTAAACTAATTCTTATCTATTGTAGTCAGACTAGTTATCTTCAAGTTTCAAGTTTCAATTTATTTATATAGCATATACAAAACAGCCACATGGCTGACCAAAGTGCTGTACAGATTCAAAAATAGTAAAAAAAAAAAAAATCAGCACAACTAAACAATTAAAACAGGGTCTCCGCCCTAATAATAATAAAAAAGTAAATATAATAATAACACAAGAGAAACAAAGTCAGGTTGTAACTAATCGTAAACTAATACTTATCCTTCGTAAACAATACTTTGTAGTCGAGCAAGCTAGTAACTAATTGTAATCTAAATCTTATCCTTTACATTTGGCAAAAATTTGTAACTACTACTTATGCTTCTTTGTTTGGCTAGGTTGTAAATTAATTCTTATTTATCACCATAGGAATATCTTGTAACCAATCGTAAATTGATCTCCTTCTCTTCTTGCTTCCTGTAGCTCGGCTTCTTCAAGAGAACTCCGTACGGCACGGCCATGGAAAAAGCCCAGCTCAAACCTCAGGCTGCATCCGAGGCCTAAACTACACAAGAGCATTCAGAAAACACGTCCCGAAGAATGTTCTTAACCAGAGGCCATCCAAAGAGAGGTTACTTGCTGTTTAAAAAACAAACAAACAAAGACTAGACTGCAGTAAAGGAATACGGAGGAAAGATCACTGGATCTTCACTGTACTGCACTAGATCACGAGACCCTGAGGACTTAAAGCCAAATGAATGTTGACATTGTTTCTTTTATGTTATCGTTTTTGCTTGATGTGGGTTTAACCACCACCTATAGCCTACCACTCACAAACAGATCTTAACCAAAGCTCAGGATCACTTGTCTTGCCTGGCAACCTGCTAAAGGAAAAAATGGCAGCAAATCTACGGATTTTGCCCAAGACCGACACAATCTGCACTAATATTAAGAGTAACATTTATGATGTTTGAATTTTTAAGTTTCTTTCAGTTTTTTCTTCTTAGTCCGCAGCTGCTCATGTGTTTCAGATGGTTAAACAGCATCTGCAGTATAGCATTTTACATTTTTAGCGTGTAGGTTTACACAAAAAAAATCTTCTATGCAGTATTTCACAACCAACCAAAGATATTGATACAGGTTTTGCTCATTTATTGTGCTTTGCGAGTGAAAATGAGGTAGTCGGATACCTCACCGTGGACCCTCATCTCCAGTTTCCTGCTGTCTTTTTTCTTTTTCTTTTTATGAAGATGTTTTAAATGTTTTTTTGTTTTGTGCTTTCTAATAGAATGGGTTTTCACTTCAAATGAGATGTTTTCAGCTCAGTCTCCTTTGTGTCTTTCGAAGAAAGCAAGCCAGGTTGGTTTCACTCTCAGGTGATGCCGTGGAAAAATTTCTGCGGAAAACATTGTCAGGATCCTTCGCGGAAGGCGATCGTTCTTCCCTACTGAATGTCAGCCATTTCTGTCCTGTTATCGTAGTAGTAACAAGCGACAACGTTGCCTTAAAAGTCATCTGGGACTCAACTGGATCAGCTCCGAGTCTGTGAAACCTCGCCGATGCCTTGAAGCAGAGCTGTGCTTTGCCGTTACGCTAACAGACTCTTGGGTCAAAGAGCGGAAGGGTCGTCCCTCCAAATTTCTGTGGGTGAACAGAGAACCACTGTGGGCTTAGAAGGAGATTTCTGCAAAGTCCATTTGTCGGTGCAAAATGAACGGACTCTCAGACTGAAAGCAAACCTCTTCCAAGGCAGCATGCCTCATCCATCCACTGAATGTTGAAATACACCTGTATACTTTTTGTTTTGTCTTTTTCGTATGCGTGTTTTTGTGATCATCTGCTTGTGTGCGATTGGATGTGAAGATATGAGAGTTTTTTTTGGTGTTATGGAGTGCCACAGTCAGTGTAGAAATGCCTCCGTACATCATGGTGCTGAAGTGGCCGAATCAGACAGGATGTAACGGCAATCACCCATCGTGAAACTCCTGTTTCAGTGAGCCACCTAGAAAGGGAAAGCAGCTGGAACTGTGGGATGTGTAGGAAATCAGTATGGAAGTGCAATATTGTTGTATTTTGTTTTCAACTTTTTTTTGTCATGTGCATATTAATACTTTATTTTAGTGAAGTTCTCAGAAATAAGGATAACAGCACAACCCAGATGTTCGAATTTGTGCAACGCATTTTAGGGATGACAGATTTTTTAACCTAGAAGAGTATAAGGCTGGCTGTGTACAAAGGCCATTTCTAAAAAAAACAAAAATTGTCATGTGCATATTAATACTTTATTTTAGTGAAGTTCTCAGAAATAAGGATTATTTGAAGACAACACCCAGTTTGAGGGTTGAAATTAGCCCAGATGTTTAGATAATTTAAAAAGCAGCGTAATGCTGTAGTCTAAAAAATACAGAAACATGACTCAATTGCCAAAAAGGTCCAATAATCTTTTGTCGAATCGAAACCATGTAATTTAAGACATGTTTTGTCTGTCATATTGTACGTATGTGCAGGGTTTACTAATTAATTGTGGTTGTTCGAATTGGTACAAAATCAAATAACTGATACATACTCCACTTGAATCCGTAGTAATGTTTTGAATCTCTTTTGTAGAAATTATTTATTCCTCCAAAAGTTAGATTTTAGTTTTGAGATTTTTGTATTTTAAGCGGGAGGAAACACTGGGTATGTCTTCATTTTTTTTTAAACTGCCCCAAATCCCCATTTATGATTTTGTTTTAAGTTGTAAATATGTTTGGCGAGGAGATTATTGTAATTTTCAGCTGATACTGATTTGACGTATTTCATCGCCCCATATTGGGGAGAATCAGAGGGATGTTCAAGTAATTATTTGTATTTACACTTTGCTTTTTAAAATAAATCTTTCCGTTTTTTTTTTTTTTTTTACAACTTATGGTTGAATTGTTGTTGTTTTTTTGGGAGATAATTTTTTGGAGAAAAAATTAGAATAAGAGATACTAAGTGGATAAATAATTTGAAACCAAAAAAGAAATAGCACCACAAATGTTCAATAATTTATTTATATAAAAATAAACACTTCATTAAGAAAAAAAAAATGCATAAGGTATATACTTTTATATAAAAATCCTACAAAACTGTGCTCTTTTCATAGTATTTAACTGGTTTAGCTTAGTGGTATTTGGCTTTTATATACAGCAGCTAGTAACAATCTGTTGTTCTCCAGTGCTTGCTCACAATGAAATTCTAAAGTTAATATTCAAAACGGGCCAGAATACTGTTAAATAAGGAATAAGTGCTGATAGACCATAGATTTATTAAAATCACTGCATTTATGTGCATTAATTTTCAATAATTCAATGGTCCAGAGTCAACTGTCAGTCATAATGTCTATATAATGTTTATTTACGGACACTGTTCAGGTTTTTGTCCCTAAAACAACTTCTTTACACCACATCATGCTTCTAAAAACAGCCCAAGCCAATGTTGCTTGTTCAGACAGAACGTGGCGAAGAGGTACAGAGCTGTCATCAAAAGCAACATTGTCATGGTATACATTTTTAACAGTTAATGCCAGCAGCACTGAAGTGAAATTCTTTGCTCATGGTGTAGTGTGTCAGATACGGCACATATTAGTCACAGCAGACAGATCAGAACACTTCTGATAAGGCATCAAAAGGTAACTGTCCCTTGTCAGCATTTTCCCAGCCAGTGCTCGGCTTTGCACAGTCCACGCAGCACTGACTAAAGGAAATTTGTGAGAATTTACACCAATTAACCACACATAGGGTGATCATGGATTCCATCAATCACTTTTGTTCTCCAATATGGAGCAGGATGGGCCGAAGAAAGGCAGTCTTGCGGCGGCTCAGCGCTCTATGGCTCTGGAGAGCTGAGTTAGTTTCTTCTGATTGTCGATCACTTTGAGGTTCTGGATGTACTGTCTTATGTTGGCTGCACTGCGCAGGGTCAGGGACTGGTCTGAATCTGCAAGATATGAGTGAGTGAAACATCAATGCTGAATTGCAACAACACACTCATGCTGATTTATTCCACGTTTTCGCATTATATATCATATAGAGGAAAAAAAAAAGAATAACATACATGTTGATAATCGAATAGCTTGGGCATCCAAGAACATTCTTTCTGTCAAGCCTTTCTGTGGAGATGAAGGCACTGCAAAAGCACAAAAAGACAGAATATCTCCCCTTTAACACTTTGGTTTCCTGTGATCCACACCACTAGGGGGAGCTATACCGTAAGGTTGACTTCGACACTGTCGAACTGTCTTCACTGTTCTGGCAATCATGTGCTGAAAATAAGGTAAAAAGCATATATTAAATGTGTTGTCTAAGGTGTAGAGTTTAAATTTAATGCAACATTTAAAATCAAAGCAATACTCGCACCATTTTCTCAAAGTTGACCAGTTTATCAGTGTAGTTCTTGTTTCCCTCATGGATAAATGTCATATCTACACAGACAAATGAGTAAGTGATAGATTAAGTTGATTAAACTTATATCCACCAAATCATGACATAAATAGTAAATAATGTCAACTGGATTCAGTAGTAAACTTTACCTTTAAGCAGTAGAGGCATGAAGGGAATGTATGGAGGGCTGAGTTTGGCTACAGCCAGTCTGTAGGCCCTGTGGTTACGAGATGGATCCTACAACAAAGAGATGATTACTTCTCATATAGTACCTAGACATAACAAATCCCTGTAAAAAGCGAGCAGATATATTTGCTCTTACCATCAGTCTTTCATACGCACAGTAGATCCTCTTGGTTTTGTTTGGAAGTCTCTGTCAAGTCAAGTCAAATTTATTTATATACACATTGTTTTGAAGCAGCTTTACAGAAAATCATGATGTTAAATGAATAGGTAACCCAAAATGTAGCATTAATCTAGATTATGGACTGGTATTTTGACAAGAAGTGACGGTTTAAAGTTAAAATGCTGTAATAATAATATTTTTTTTTTTTTACAAACATGCAGCATTTCACAACACTTTAATTGATAAACTGAAGTCGTGTGAATTATTGTGATGTTTCTATCAGCTTTTTGGACTCTCATTCTGACGGCACCCATTTACTACAGAGGACCCTTTGGTGAGCAAGTGAAATAATGCTAAATTTAATCAAATCTGTTCTGATGAAGAAACAAACTCATCTACATTGTGATGGCCTTAGGGTGAGTGATTTTAAAGCTAATTTAAATTTTTGGGTGAACTATTCCAACCCCTTAACTGTCACCCCCCATTTTTTAAAATAGGCATGCAGGTGCACTATCCAAACTTAAATTGTTGTAATTTATGAACACTTTGTAATACAGACATAAGTTTGGTCTCTTTTTAAAGAAGGAAATCAGCAGATTATGGCAAAAGTGGAATTAAAAAAATTAAAGTATCAAAATGTTATGGTAGTTTAAATTTACTGTAAAGAAAATGCACTATATTATAACACTATATATTTTATTTTATATATAATAAATATTTTACATAACAGGTTTTACTCTAAAATTGGTATAAAATTAAAGTCTTATGTCTAAATAAGCTATGTTCCAAATTTGAAGTTGATTGTATGATGATTACTAAAAGATTTGATAGAGAAACAGGACAACAAAAAAAGAGTGCCAAGCGTCCCACAGGTGGGACGGTGACAGTTAAGGGGTTAATGTTTATAATATCTTCATGCCCTAAAATCACTGCATTTATGTGCATTAATTTTCAATAATTCAATGGTCCAGAGTCAACTGTCAGTCATAATGTCTATATAATGTTTATTTACGGACACTGTTCAGGTTTTTGTCCCTAAAACAACTTCTTTACACCACATCATGCTTCTAAAAACAGCCCAAGCCAATGTTGCTTGTTCAGACAGAACGTGGCGAAGAGGTACAGAGCTGTCATCAAAAGCAACATTGTCATGGTATACATTTTTAACAGTTAATGCCAGCAGCACTGAAGTGAAATTCTTTGCTCATGGTGTAGTGTGTCAGATACGGCACATATTAGTCACAGCAGACAGATCAGAACACTTCTGATAAGGCATCAAAAGGTAACTGTCCCTTGTCAGCATTTTCCCAGCCAGTGCTCGGCTTTGCACAGTCCACGCAGCACTGACTAAAGGAAATTTGTGAGAATTTACACCAATTAACCACACATAGGGTGATCATGGATTCCATCAATCACTTTTGTTCTCCAATATGGAGCAGGATGGGCCGAAGAAAGGCAGTCTTGCGGCGGCAAAAAAAGAGTGCCAAGCGTCCCACAGGTGGGACGGTGACAGTTAAGGGGTTAATGTTTATAATATCTTCATGCCCTATAGTCACATTTAGCAGATTAGAGCTGGCCGATAATATAGTTTACATTTTGCGATGATACAAGCAATCAAGCAGATGAGATTTGCTATATATGGATAAAGCTGGACATACTTTTATATACAGCTTTATATAAAGAGCTGGCCGATAATATAGTTATATTTTGCGACAAAGTTAATGTAAGGTCATTTGATATGTGTTAGAGGTCTTGAAAGAAGTTTGATTTTGGTATTTTACACAGAAATAAAACAGCAAAAGCTTATTTAGACTAGACCGAGAGTATATAGTTGTCCTTACCTCCCATGTTTTATTGAGCCTCTGCACAGCACTGTTACTGAGCCCGAACATCACTGCGAAAAACGAGTTCAGGTTCTTCTGCTCTTTAAAACTGAAATACATCAAATCAGATGCCCATGAGCTCGTACTCCCTAAAGCAAACAAGTCAAATCTATTCATTTCATTCATTTAGTAAACTATTGGTGGTATTTTTGATATGACATAGTAATATCTGTAAATAAGACAGCATGCCAGTGGTACATTTTCTCTCCCCCTAGTGGTCAAAAATGGACACGCACTATAAAAATGGTCATGATTTTACATGATTTAACAAGTTTTTTACATTCAAATAATTTCTTCAGACTTTACAATGCAGGTTGGGTCATTTTCTATGTTAACACAACAAATTATTGTTAAAAAATGATTACATCCTGCTGCAATAATGAACAAAAAAAATCCAGCCACATAATTTATGCTGTTAAAAAAAAAAGATTATTGGAGTATGTTTTACATGAAAAAAAAAAAA